CCCGTATACAGCCAAAAAATAAAGGGAAGGGCAAGTTCCCTTCCGTCAGCTGCCACAGCCAAGAGCAGGCCTGTGTCAGCACGATGCCCCTCAGTCCTCCACAGGCCAACCCCGCCTGAGCCCGCCTCCCCTCCACCTCCCGGCAGGGCGTGGCCTCCAGGGCGGCCAGGAGGTGGCGCCACACCCGGCCGGCGCTGGGCTTGGAGAAAAGGCTGAGAGCCGGGGGAGCGTTGCGTGGAGCTGAGCCTGCGACAGAGGAGGCCAGGCTCAGTCCGGGGCCAAGGGTGCAGGAGTCCAGGGCCAGGCGGTCACTGGGCCGCCCACCTGGGCTGGCTTGGGGAAGGCGGGAGCCAGGGCCCAGACGGGCCTGGCTGTCTGGCAGGCGCTCTCCAAGGTGCTGAAGCAACCAGGGCCTCCTCAGAACCAAGGCCAGGTCCACAGCTCGGCCTGGGCCCCTCCCCGCTGCGGATACAAACTGGGGGGGGCCTGTGGGCAATGTACACAGACACGCTGTGCTCACAGACCCAAACACCTGTCCTTGAAACACATGCAGAATTACCAGCTCATGGCCAACAGCCAGTTACATTTAGAGTTGCAGAGAATACGACACTGAGGAAGGGGAAAAGTCTGGAAGGAAACGGGTTCCTGTCCCAACACCATCTCTTCCCCAGAGCCTTCCTCTCAGAGCCCGGAAGAAGCCCTCTGCTGGGCCTTGGGTCACCTGTGCTAATGGTCACGCTCACAGGGCTCGGAGGGGCCCAGCCCGCTCACACACAGCTCGCTCACTGTGCAGCTATCTACCAAGTGACAGTGCCAGCCACGGGCCACCAGCGGTGACAACCCAGCTCCTCCCCTTGCCCACGAGGGCAGCGGCCCTCACCCCTCCCAGCCCTCACCAGCCCCAGTGCTAGCACGCCGGGAGGAGGGATGCCTTTCACCAACGCTTGCTCTTATACTGGTGTTTGTTCCTACAACTGGTGGTGGCAGCCGTGCAAGGAATGAGGCATTTGCTCCCCCTCCCTCCCTCCCTCCCTCCACCTTAGGAAGCCTTTCAAACCCCACGCCCCTTAAGGGGCCCGGGGGAAAATAATCTCAGAAGAGCTAAGTGCTTGTTTCTTTCTGGTCCTGAAATGGTTTCTCCTGGGGTAAAATCCATATGGATGACTCCCTTCCTCCCAACTCCTTAAAAAGAGAACTTTTCACACAGTCACAGCCGAGCACCAAAAACATGCCCGAGGGTAGGTAATGTTGTTTGCATGAGGGACATTAGTAGCGGAACTATGTTTAAAATAGAAACCGGGGCCCCTCTGCCTGCCATCAGAGCGCCACGTGGGGGGGGGGGGGGCTCGGAGAGCAGCAAAGCCAGGATGCGCCTGGCTGTTCAGGGGGAAGGATGGAAAATGTCTCTGGGCAGCAGGTGTAGTGTGTGTGTGTGTGTGTGTGTGTGTGTGTGTGTAGTGTGTGCGCGCATGCATGTGCCTGGAAGGGGAGGGGGCTCTGAATCCTGGCTGTGGGTGTGTGTGTGATTTGTGGGGGTTGAGGAATCTGGACTGGTGAACGGGACCTATGTTTGAGGGGGAGAGGCCTGGGTGGCAGATGAGTCATCTCTCCCAGGGTGTGGGAGCGCTTATCTGAGGGGTAACTTTTGGTCCCTGGCACCCGGGGAGGACGTCTACCTGTGCAACCAACCACAAGGACCCAGCAGGTGTCAGCAGAACCACAGGTGCGGGCTGGCCAGGGAGGCCTCCTCCCTCTCCATCCCCCCCCCCCCGCCCGCACACATGTGCGTGTACATCAGCCTGCAGCCCTGCGAGGAGTGGATGTGGGAGAAGAGGGAGGAGCAGAAGGCATCTCTGCACAGGAAATTTACAGGGGTGAGCCCCACAGACTCCGGAACCAACCGTGAATCCCACCCCACCCAAAGCTCATCTGCCTGGAAGCCTCTGCTTCCCAACATGGAGAATGGGAATGAGAAGGCAGGCCGCCAGCACTGTAAGAATGAAGCAGGGAATTCTCCCAAACCTCGCACACAGCAAGAATCTCCTGGTACTGCTACTGACCCTTGCACGGCCACCCTTAGCAAGCCTGGCTACGCATGAACTATAATAATAAAAATGGTGACGACCCCTACCAGCAACCCACACCTACAATCCTAACTACTCAGGACACTAAGATCTGAGGATCCTGGTTCGATGCCAGCCTAGGCAGGAAAGTCTATGAGACTCTTATCTCCAATTAACCACCAAAAAACTAGAAGTGGAGCTGTGGCTCAAGTGGCAGAGCATCAACCTTGAGCACAAAAGCAAAGGGACCAGTGGCCAGGCCCTAAGATCAGTTCTAGGACCCACACCAAAAAAAAAAAAAGTGAAGCATGCATATTGTATTGCACTTGCTGTTGATACTCCCACGCAGCAGCAGCAGCAACAGCAGCCCCTTGCGAAGGTGAAGAAAAAGAAGCTCAGAGAGGTCAAGTAACTTGCCCAAGGTCACAATACAAAGAGCTCTAAGGGCCAGGATTCCCAGCAAGCCTGTGCACCTGCTGCCCCGTGGCCCAGGCCTCACCAGGCAGAGGCCCGCACCGGGGGAGGGTGAGCCGGAGGAGGACTTGGCACAAGTGTCCCGAGTCGGAATGGATTCCATACCAACTCCAGCTAAATGCAGAATACATTTGCTGCTCCTGTATTATTCATGACAACCACTGTTTCCCCCAGTCAGCACTGGGAACGGCACTAAAGTTGGGGAGCTCTGCAGAGGCCAACCTCAAGTTCTCTGTACAAGGTTGGACTGGCACTGGGACCACGCACTCAGGAGGGCGCAGCCCCCTGCTGCCTGCCACAGGTGGGCAGGACGCTGAGGCTCTGTCCTGCTCCAGCAGACGCTACCCCATCTGGTCTGCAGCAGGGCTGCCCAGGGGCCCAGGCTCCCAAGAGCTCCCAGGCTAACAAGATGCTATGGCTGTGCTCAGAGGCCTGTTCCTGGATGCTGGTCCTGACCCCCACCCCAGTCCAGAAAGGCCAGTTCAAGTCTCCCAAATGCTGTGTCCCCAGCCAAGCGGGCAGCCAGCCTGGTGAGGACCTGGGCAAACGGGGCTGCCTTCCAGCAGGTGTGGTGGGAGCCAGGGGGTGTGGCAGACAGAGGGAGGGCCCTGCCACCAGGCCACACGAGCCCTGGCCCCTTGGCCTCACTTGTACAGTGGACCGGAGGAGCCAGAGAGGAGGGGCAAGGATGGAAGGCTAAAGGAGCCGCCTGCTGGGGTCTGGGTGGGGAGCTCAGAGCCGTTATCCAGAAAATGTCCTCCTACGAACAGCCCAGCTCCTGGATGCCGGACCAGCCCCAGCCCCAGCTCCATTCGCCGGAGCAGTCACCAGCCCTTCGCCGAGAGTGGAGGCTGCGCCAGGACCTCCATCACAACACCTGCAGCAGCTTGTCACAGTTCCTGCTCAAACATTTGTTGACTGGAGGGAAGGATTGCTCAGGCGGGGCCTGGGACACAGGAGCCATCTGGGGGAGGGGCGCAGGACTGGGTGCGGCCCCACCCTCCTCACAGCCCATGGGGACCGGCCTACACCACACCATGAAGAACCTTCCAGCCCAGGCCCCGCCGGGAGCCCCTTTGGAAGGTAGCTCTGCAGACGGTAGCCCCTCCCCCCCCGCCCGCGAGAACGGCTCCAAGCACCCCAAGAGCCCAGCTGGGAGCCAGGCTGCTCGCCCACCCACTGCGGCCACCACAACTGCTGCCGGGGCCTGGCCAGGCCTGCGTGTGCACACACACACGGGCCCACGCCTGGAACCGAGGGAGGGCCGTCTGCTCCTGCGGGCCCCTGGCACCCCAGGGTCAGCAAAGCACTCCAGCCCGCTCCATGAAAACAACCAGACAGAAAAGGCCACCTGGGCCCCGGGCTGGGCACAGCAGACAGGCAGGAGCATTATATAATTAACTGCCCAGGCTCCGCCTCCTCTTTGGGTAATAACGAACCCTGCCTCTCCGTTGCATAAGCCAAAATAATAATTACTCCCCAGCCCTCCTCACTCCTGGATGAGGCCCGGAAGCCCCCCCTCCATGCCCGGGCAGGGAGACACGGGGACACTCTGGGCCCCCTCCTCCCCGGGGAGCACAAGTCACTGCAGCGCATCTAACTCCCTTCCCGGGCATCTATGCTTGAACAACAAGCAGTCTGCCCAGTGGGAGGCACCTCCAGAGACAGCTGGGGGGAGGGGGAGGCCTCTGGGCCACAGTCTGTTGGAGCCTGGCTTCCAGGAGGGTCCAGGCCAGGGGCAGCCGCCACGCCGGCCACGGCTTCCCGGATAGAAACCGTCACACAGGCAGCTCACCGGCCTTGGCCGCCGGCTCCGGCCCCAGTGTGGTGGCATCTTGGGTGGATGGCACCCCAGCAATTCCCCGGGAAGGCGACATTCCTGGGCTCTCTGGAAACAGATGGGCCTTCCTCCCCCCTCTCCCTCCCTCCAGCAGCCTGCTTCGACGGCGCTGGCCGGGTCCAACCGCCCATAAGTTCATTGCCTGGCTGTTTCGGGTCAGGTAGGCGGCCCGGCCTCTAGCTCCCAGTTGCTCCCTCTTGGTTGGCCTGGGTGGATTCGCAGCTGAGGGAGGCCGGGGCCTGACCCTCAGCTCTACCGGAGGAGGGGGGCTCCGCAGCCCCCACCCCAACCTCGGTGGGTCCCGGAGGTGGCCGCAGGCCCAGCCGGGCCTTGCCCGCAGGCCCCCGGCCTGCTCTGACGCCGGTCCCCGGGCTCGGGGCCCGGCTGGGCCCGGCCCGGCCGCCCGACACCCCTCACCCCCAGCCGGCAGGGCAGGGGGACACCTCCCCTCCCCCCCCCCCCCCCCGCAAGGGGCAACCTGTGGCCAGGCCTCTGAAACCCCCAGCCCCGCAGGAGGGCGAGGCGCGCCGGGGACACACAGTGGGGGGAGCGAGGGGAGCGGGCGGGGGAGGGGGCCGGCCGCCCCGCGCCCCCCGCGCGCCCCCGCCGCCCCGCGCGCCTACCTCCATCCGAGTAGGTCTCGGTGCCGTAGCCGTCCTGCAGGCCGTTGCTCCAGGTGCCCTCGTACTTGGCCCCGCTGCCCGCGCACTCCCGCACCCCGTAGCGCCCCTTGAACCCGTGCGTCCACTCGCCCTTGTACAGCCACTTCCCCTTGCTCTCCAGGCCGACGCCGTGGCGCTTGCCCTGCGCCCAGGTGCCCTGGTACGTGTTGCCGCTGGGCCAGGTGTAGACGCCCAGCGCCTCGAAGCCGCGGCTCCACGAGCCGGTGTACTCGCCCTGGCCGCTGGGGCCGGTGCAGACGCCGTGGCCGTGCGCCTTGCCGTCCTCCCAGCCTCCGCAGTAGGAGCCTCCATCGTCAAAGTTAAACCTTCCCCCACTGGACATGCACGTAACGCGCTCCGCGAGTCCCGCAGGCGGCGAAACAGGCGGCGGCGGCGGCGGGGCGCGGGCGGCGGCGCGGGCGGCGGGGCGCGGGCGGCGGGGAGCGGGCGCCGGCCCGAGCCGCGGTGCCGGGCTTTGTGCGCGCGCCGCTTCCGCGGGAGCAATGGAGACGGCGGAGGGCGCCGGCGCGGGCCTCAGGCGGCCGGGGGCGGCGGCGGCGGCGGCGCGGGGCCGGGCTGCGCCGCGGGGCCTGACCAGCGTCTCGCGCTCCCGCTGGAGCCGGGGCCGGGGAGGCGGCGGGAGGGGCGCGGGCGGGGGAGGGGGCGGCGCGGCGCGGCGGGCGCCCGCGGCTCCACCGCGGCGGCGAGGGGCCCCGCCGCGCGCCCCGGGAGGAGGGCGGAGGGCGGGCGGAGGGCGGGCGCGGGCCGGCGCGGGCCGCCGGCGCTCAGGCCCGGCCCGCGGCCCCCCACCTGCGGCTGCCGCGCTGCGGGCGCCCGAGGGCGGCGGCCGGGCCCGCGGGCGGCGGCGGCAGGGGCGGCGGCGCGGGCGGCTGCACCATAGCGGGGCCGGGCGCGGGGCGGCGGCGGCGGCGGCGGCGGCGGCAATGCGGCGGCGGCGGGCTCGGGAGGCGGCGGCGGCGGCGGCGACGGCGACGTGAGCTCGAGGCCCCGGCTCGCGCGCTGGGCCGGCGAGGCGCGCGCCCGCCCTGCCGCCCGCGCCCCCGCGCGCGCCCCGCCCGGACCCCCGCTCCCGCGCGTGCCCGCCGCGCCCCCGCGCGCGCCCGCCGGGGGCTGGCGCTGCCCTCCGGCCCCGGGCGCGCGCGCAGAGGCCGGGGAGCCCGGCCCGCCGCCCCCAGCCCCGGCGGACCCCTGCCCGCCCGCCTGGGAACCGGGGTGCGGCCGGGGCACCCCAACCCCCTTCCCGGCCCTTGGATTTAAAGGGACAGGAACCGAGTGCCGGGCAGGCGCCCCGGCACCCCGAGCGCGCCGGGCCACCTCCGCGAGCCCGGGGCGAAGCGGGAGGCGCAGCCGCCGCCCCCGGCCCCGGCCCCGGCCCCGGCCCCTCAGCTCTGCTCCAGAGGCGCCTCGCAAACCACAGGTGTTTTCTGTTCTGTACCCCCACACCTTAGTACAAATACCTCCCTCCCCTCCCTCCTCTCCCTCCCTCCCCTCCGTCCCCTCCCCTCCAGGCGCTGGGGTCCAAGTAAGCGGGGCGCGCCCCCAGAACGCGCGCACCCGCGACTGCCCACCCCACAGGCCGGGCGTGGCCCGCCGCCCTCTCCAGATGTGCGCGCGGCCGGCCAACAGGTCCCCCGGCCCGGAGCGGGCGCCTCTAGGGGCGCACGGGGGCCCCGCCCGCCTCCCCGCCGCGACGCCAGGCTGTGGGAGCGGAGCATCTGCGATTCAAGATGCATTTCAGATGCATTTCCCGGGGCCTCCGTGCGCGGGCAGAGCCCGCACCCCGCCCCGGGCCGCGCTGCGGGGGCCGCGGGGGACTGGGGTCCAGGGAATGGGGCGCAGCGCTGCGGGGGTGGGGCTCGGGTCCGGGGAATGGGGCGCAGCGCTGCGGGGGGTGGGGGGGTCGGGTCCAGGGAATGGGGCGCAGCGCTGCAAGTGGGGGGGAGAGGCTCGGGTCCTGGGAATGGGGCGCAGCGCTGCGGGGGGGGGGAGCCTCAGGTTGGAATGGGGTGCAGAGCTGCGGGGTGGGGGCCGGGTCCGGGGAATGGGGCGCATCGTGCCCCCTCCCCCCCCCCCCCGCGGCCTGTAGCGCCGGCCTCCCTTCTCCTGGCCAACACTTCCCTTTTGGTTTGTTTATTTATTTTTTGGGGGGAGGGTCCGTTCATGGGGCCTGAACTCTGGGCCTGGGCGCTGTCCCTCAGCTCTTCAGCTCAAGGCTAGCACTCTACCACTTGAGCAACAGCGCCACTTCTGGCTTTTTTCTTTTTGCTTATGTGGTGCTGAGGAATCGAACCCAGGGCCTCATGCATGCAAGGCAAGCGCTCTACCACTGAGCCACCTTCCCAGGCCCTAGTTTATTTTGTCCAGCTAACTGAGCAGGAAGTAAGGTCTGTTGGTGAACAAGAAAGCCACATTCCGTGAATGTGTAAGGCACGAAGGGCACACACATCCTCACAAGATGTAGGTTCAAGACCTGGCTCCACCGCCACTTGCCGTGTGGCTTTGGGCAGTCATTTCATGGCTCTGTAAGGCGGAGACACAACAGTTCCGGCCAGAGATCAAGGGTCAGGCTGCCTGGGGCCCAGTGTGCACTTGGGAAGCGCGGTGCAGCACCATGCAGCCACAAGCCCTGCCCTCACTGAGTGGTCTACATTTTCTCGCTTCCATTTTATTTCTGCTCTTTTTGCTGAGTTGGCAACCCGAAGCCGCGGATTGCAACTGAGCAGCTCCTGACAACAGTGACAGGTCCCACGTTCCAGGGAGCGCCTTCCATCCCCTGGCCCTGCTGAGGTCCCGGCTCCATACCTCTCCCCCGGGCCCTCTCCTCGGGGCTCGCCGTGGCCATTTTGCTCTCTAGAATGCTGGCGGTAGAGGCCCCTGTGCCACCTGGAGGCCGTTCCCCATGCAGGTGGTGGTGGTGGTGATGATGGTGGTGGTGGTGATGGTGGTGGTGGTGGTGGTGATGGTAGTGGTGCTGGTGGTGGTGGTGATGGTGATGGTGGTGATGATGGTGATGGTGGTGATGGTGGTGGTGATGATGGTGGTGATGGTGGTGGTGGTGATGGTGGTGGTGATTGATGGTGGTGATGGTGGTGATGGTGGTGGTGGTGATGGAGGTGGTGGTGGTGGTGGTGGCGGTGGTGATGGTGGTGATGGTGGTGGTGGTGGTGATGGTGGTGGTGATGATGGTGGTGATGATGGTGGTGGTGGTGATGGTGATGGTGGTGGTGATGGTGATGGTGGTGGTGGTGGTGATGGTGATGGTGATGGTGGTGGTGGTGATGGTGGTGGTGATGATGGTGGTGGTGGTGATGGTGGTGGTGATGATGGTGGTGGTGGTGATGGTGGTGGTGATGATGGTGGTGGTGATGATGGTGGTGATGGTGGTGATGGTGGTGGTGATGATGGTGGTGGTGGTGATGGTGGTGGTGGTGATGGTGGTGATGGTGGTGGTGGTGATGCTGGTGATGGTGGTGATGGTGGTGATGGTGGTGGTGATGGTGGTGATGCTGGTGATGGTGGTGATGGTGGTGGTGATGCTGGTGATGGTGATGGTGATGATGGTAATGGTGGTGATGGTGGTGGTGATGGTGGCGATAGAATAATGGTAGCAGTGACATGATAATTAGTGGCGGCCATGGTGATGGATGACAGATGACCATTAACGGTCATGACAAGCACGAGGATGTTGCTAATGTGACGGTGATAATGAGGAAAGTTCACGAGAGTCCATTTCAACCAAAGGCCAGGCGTGGTGGCACACACCTGTCACCCTGCTGCCGGGAAAGCCCGGTGCTGGGCACAGTGGCCTCACCTGTCACCCCGCGTGGTCTGGGGACGTGTAGGTAGGAAGACGGCAGGCCAAGGTGGCCTGGCAAGAAGCAAGGCCTTACCTGGAGAATAACCAACAGGTAAGGACTCAAGGGACAGAATGCCTGCGCGTAAGTGCCAGGCCTGGCGCAGCCTGCCCTGCATCCGCCCCAGAAGAGTGAGGGTCCGCTGACTCAGAGCTGGCGTGTCCCTCTTCTCACTGCGGGGGCGGGGCGCAGAGGGGCTCACGTCGCCAGAGATGGAGTCTGGAAGAGACTGCATCCCACCACCCACTGTGGGAGCACAACTCCAGGGACCCCAGGACTGCCACGGCACCCAGTTCCCGGGGACCAAGCGACCTTCTCTCACACGGGACCCTTGGAAGACACCAAGGGCAGGGCAGCTGATAAGTCCCCCCCGGCCTCCCCCCCCGAGGGCGCGCGGTGGCCTCCACGCCTGGGACTCGCTCGGGCCCCTTTCGGGCCCCGGGCCACCATGGCGCCCTCCTCTGGCTCAGCCACCCTGAGCCCTCACCCTCTGCACGGGTCACGCTAGCCGGCTTTTGTGATCCTCTAGCCTACCCCGGGAGCCGGGGTATGCCCAGAGGCCTCTTCTCCCCGAGCCCTGGCTCCATATCTCTGTTATTCTGACTAGGATAAGGGCACCCACGCAGCCTTCCGGGAGCACTGTGGAATGGACGCTTGCTGTGTGAAGGGTGTGGCCCCAGGGCCTTGGCACTCACCTGCCGCTCCTGGTGGTCTGTGTCTTCACCTTGCTTGACACCAGCTGGCGTTGCCAACGCAGCCCTGGGGAGGGACCCAGGGCCGAGGGGAGCGAGCCTGGCAGATGGCATCAGGCACACGAAGACAGAAGAACAGCTTCTCCGATCGCTATCTGCTGCCAGGCTAACCGGTGTGATTAGACTCCTTAGACCCTGCAGCCAGGGGCTCCGCGTGCCTCCCGCCAGCTGGGCCTCTAGCCCCCCAGCTCCCACCCCCCCCCCAGCTCCCACCCCCCCAGGGAAGATTGCCGAGCAGGTGGGGCGGCAGGAGGAGGCTGGGGAGGCTGCTGGTCTGGGCCAGGGCTTTGGGGTGACTGGCGTGTGGAGCTGAGGTACAGAGCCCATGTGAAAAGCCCTGAGGTTGGGGAGGCCCATGCAGAGGTCAGGGTGGCGGCCTGGGGCCGGGGCGGCTGGCACGAACCGGCTCCGTGTGGCCCGGCGGCACCCACCTGCCCAGCTGCAGCGTCCAGGTGTCCTCAGCGCTGGACTGGGGCTTGAGGCTGTCTTGACCCAGTGCCTGCTGGTTCAACCCCCCACCGTCCCAACCCAGTGCCCCCCCCGCCGACCCCCCACCATCCCAACCCAGTGCCCCCCCCAGCCGACCCCCCACCGTCCCAACCCAGTGCCCCCCCCGGCCGACCCCCCACCGTCACAACCCAGGGCCCCTCCCAGCCGACCCCCCACCGTCCCAACCCAGTGCCCCCCTCGTCGACCCCCCACCGTCCCAACCCAGTGCCACCCCCGGCC